CAGTACAACATAATGTTTAAAGGATCACGCTTGCTTTAAGTCATTCACTGTATTTGAAAGTTATCTCCTTTGACATATAGTTAGATATGTCTGGCAAGTAAACCTATTCTTATATTACTTTAACAACGTACATGGAGGAACAGAAAAAGTGCATATTATGCAGATATGTAAATTTTACGTTGACGCACATTTAAAAATTGGTTTCATAAAAGAACTTATCTGGGCTTGTCTTTAGAAATAATAAAACGTAACTGAGGACATGCTGAGGCCAAAGCAACAGAACTTCATTATAATGTAACTTCTCCTCACAAAAAAGTAATATAGACTTGAAAGTAAATTATGTGAAAGTTCACATACACTTGCGTCCTTCCTCCACCTTCTCATTTTCGTCTTTATCTTAGACAATTTCTCAGTCTTGAACCAATACATTACAGCTTGCTTCTTATCAAACGATCGTGTGTTGATTAAATGTGGCACAAACATGAATGAAAAAGAAAAAGAAGGAACCCGAAAACCGCTTCTGTTTCAATATTTGACAGACAAGCCTTATCTTGATCTTACCAACCGAGTTGCTTCTACCATGTAGTATGACGTCATGTCCTTGCTTAGTTCGGACTACGATCTTGTTAACACCAAAGTCTCCTGAGACCATGGGCGTCTTTTTTCGGAAAGTGTGGGGGGGGGGGGGAATCACGGAGTCCAGAAACTCGAAAGAATTCATTAGGGATTGACCTACTAATCTTGGAGATCTAGGACTGTTTTAACAGTGTGTAAATTCCATAATGTTGATCAAGGGTGAGTATTTTGTAAACCCAGTCTCCTGGAAATACTGATCTGAGCTTTGGAGGATCCCTCGATGTCACGCAGAATGAAATCTCCTATTTTTTATTTTTTTTTGGAACCTCTCCCAATGTTCTACAATCATTATTTCTGTAACTATTTTGATATATTTTATTGATTATCCAAAAAATATAATTTATTTGTTATTATATCAATTAATTAATTATTCATTTTGTTGGCGAGATTTTTTTGGAGAAAAACAATTCTGAGACATGACGAATCCAGTTTATTGGGAAAAAAATTAAGCAAAATTGCGAGCAATACAGCAACGTGTATAGTATTGCGAGAGGAAAAAGCAAACAGGTTAAGAATTAATTGATAGCCAAGACTACTACAGATCATTGACTACAGAGTAGAACTCAAATCGATGAGTAATATGTACTACAGCAGAGAAGGGCTTGATCAAGAAATATCAGAAAGTACTCTACATTTCGAAAGAAAACTCCACCTATTGAGTGCATGATTCAGCATTTAATTTTATCTCTTCCTATGTGTTTTGATTTTTTAACTGCAGTATTTTTTAAGAGACACTAAAGTGTGAAATTTCATTTTCAGTGAGGGATAATCAAAAGAAAAATCTCACAATAAATGCAAGCACTCATTTTTGAAAAGTGATTTTGAAAGATAGGTGTGAAAAAATGAGATGAAAGTAAAAGAAAATTTAAAAGGCACACTCCCAGTCCCGTAAGTGTGAGCATGCTTTCTTATTTGCAAAATGGCAATTGGCGACACAGGAATCCAGGAGTGAGCAAAGCCAGTCAGTCACACACAAGGTAGGTCAATGGGATAATATTCTTGGGCAAGTCACTTTATCGTCAGCAAAAAATGTTGACCCTGCACCTTTCCTATCTTCAAAGAAGTGGATCTGTTTGAGAGTCCGTTGATGTGCTGTGCGCCCCTTATAAGGGGAATCGAAATCACGTCCATTGTTTTAAGGTATAGGCATAAACCATTCCAAGCAGGTGTGTGACGATATTGATGTTATAAAATGATTTACATTACGCCTTGGTTTATAGGCTCTACTGATATATTATTGTTTGTTTATTGTATAAGGCGTATAGTGAGGCGTTTCCACGCTTTTCGGTTGTTGTTGTTGTTGGGTTTTTTGGGGGGTTTTTTTTTGGGGGGGGGTTTGCCTTAAGAAAAAGAATCCAGTTAGATCAATGTAGGACACGCCCCTTGAGGGCTGAAGATCTCGTCATTCTGATAGAGGTTATTTTGATGTAAACGGAAAGGGTTTAACAGACAACTTACAATGGTAAACGTGTTCCAGTTCAAGATACTAAGCGTGAATCGACAGGACCTTTGGTAGGCAAGACTGGCCTAAAGAAAAGGGTAAAATAATTGGTTGAGGGGAAAACGACACTTCTAAGAGAGGTTGTGACATAATGCGGTACTCTGGCATTTAACTCTTTGAGGACGAAACTGACAGATATTTCCGATTAGCAGCAGACCAAAGTTGCTTTTCTTTTAGCCTATTTTAAACAATCCTACACAAATTATTTTAAAAATCCCGATTTTGCATACAGTGTGCATGATGTTGCCTTCCTTTCAAAGTTCCAGGCAAAGAAAAACAAAATAGAAAAAATACCCCAACAAACTGTTTGAGTTTAAGTATTTATTCCCTCTTTAATATAGTCACCCCAAAAAAGTGGGTCTTTAAGCCTTGACGAATGACAAGAATGCTCGTTTTTAATACGTTAACAAAGCCGGGGCCTATTTGACCCCCCACCGCCTCCTCCGCGCTCACGCTTCAGTGAAGCGATAACGGCTATTTGTGAGGCAGCGCGGTGGAATCAGGCTCTCGTCAATTTTTGGGCACATAGATAAATTGGTATCATCTTAAAGCTTGTGCAATTGTCTTTATTTGGATGAAAAAAAATATCCGTTTATCATAAATACAAGTCGAGATATTTGAGAATGAAGGAGGTGGGGGTCACCTGTTTTCAGAGGTAAAATTAGTGAGAAAATGGGTGCCAAAGATTCGTTATTTCCTTAGCTTAAGAGTTCGTGGTAACTGAAAATTTACATCTTTTGTGTCTTTAATCAACGCTTTTCAGAAAAATCCACACAGAAATGAATTTTTTAATGGGCATGAAAGGTGTTGAGCCCAAAAACAAAAATCTGATAAAAATCAACAAACCTGTGGAAAAATGCAAGTTTCTTCGCTTTGATTATTGTGATGAGAGCCTGATTCAACTACGCTGCCTCACATTTAGATGGGTATAGTAGGTCTGGTGAAGGGACGGACTGACTATAACTCTGGTCCCAGCACAAAGATGTTCAAAACGTTAAATGCATATTATGCACAGTCGTGTATGTTCAACACGGCTCAGCCAAGTCAAAAATCC